GGTCACACTGGTTAAGTGGAGAGGTGATGGGAGGATTAAAAAGAGGAGGAATGTTTTATGTCGTACGTTTTGGAGAAAGGACCCTGGCTTCAGAAATACTTGTAGATGTTATTTGATCAAAAGAAGAATCATGTTACATTTATTAAAAATAGCCACATTCTCTTCATTTCTAGTACTTATAGAAGGGGACATTGAATTATGTGAAAGTAAAAATTCAGCAGTGTTGACAATGTGGATTTAGGTACTCTGGAGGGATTCTGACATCTCACCTCTGGCCATCTTTAAAGTCGTAATTCTTGCCTGAGGCATTGTTTTACTTCATAAACAGAAGCACACACCTGAGGTCATATCAGCATTCTATCAACAGTGTGATTTTTGTGAGTTGAAGTTGTTGGATAATTAAATCAGAAACCAGAGATAACTGAGCTTGAGAAATAGCATTGGTGAAAAACAAGGTCAAGGACAGGACAACAGAACCGAACAACAAGCCCAGGGGTCTGCTTGATACAACAGTAGTGTTAAAGTGCTATTAACTGCATGGACTCACTCACATAGAGCTCAGGTGCCATTAACAACCCTCGTAGCCGGAGCAAACAATAGTATGTTTACATAACAACTACATCTGCATTTCATCTTCCTGTCCAAGACAATCAGTGGAAACCCACCAGCATTTGTCTCCATCTATTGGCTATGGGTATGTCCTCTAAACTTCTTATGCCAAACCTAAGAGGTCACTCGGCTTTGCTGTATTCAGCAGCCTTTGGAAAGCTACCTCAGTGTTTGGAGCTGCTGCCAACTTTTTTTCAACATGCTTTAGAAGTTACAAGGCTTTGCCATTTCTCACTGTGTGTTAGAGTTGCAAATATAGCCATTCTGAGTTCACTTTCCTTAAAGAGTCCTTTTTATTCTTCACATTGAAGCTGTCAATTCAAAAAAGGCTTGTTATAAATGGATTAATTTAAGGCAAAATTGTTGATTGACAGGAAAAAGTTTGTTATACATGGATTTGACATCACAACCATGCATAGCCAATTTTCCCACTAACAGCTTCTTTATGGAAGAATTCTTCCAGCCACATTGCATAAACAGCTGTTGGAAACACCTTTGCATCGATCATTTGTAATAGTTTATTAAAGTGGTACCTGGCAACATGTCTATATAGTTAAAGGCTTGCTCATTACCAAACACTATTTTTCAGGAGTTTATTACTGAAGCTTTTCAAATTGTATCAAACTCATTGCTCACATGTGACCACTCACTCTAGGCATTGTTTCTTTTGTTAGTGGGCATGTAGAAGTGGGAACCTTATTTCTGAGAGTGACGTGGGCTATGATTGATCCTGCCTCAGATGTTTGAAAAAAGTTTGGTTTTATAATAATTTTTTTCTCTGTGAAAATGAGTTTTTGAGTAGTTGTAGCTTTTCTTCTCCAGAAATAAATATTTATAGGAAGAGATGCTCTAATTATCATAAGGATATTCTTATGATTTTAAATTTTATACTTTTATGTTCCTATACCACGTTTGGAAATTTTTCTGGATTACATGGATGCTAGCTGCTGTTTTCCCTCTTCATTCCTGTTACCCTTTGTTCCCATTACAAAGCCCTGCTTCACTGGCTTTCCTCTTTGAATTACATGGCAACATTCCTTCCATAAGGTCTTTTCTGTACAGTGGCTTAAGAGGTAGGCATACATTATTGAGATTGTGGTTGGAAGGCTAGCTCTTTCAATGCTATATGCCTATAAGCAAGTTATTTTGCTAAGCCTATTGTACATCCTCACGTAAATGATAGGGACAGTGATAGTACTTCCTTCTTAGTGTTATTTTAAGATCTAAGTCATTCCTATATTGAAGGGCTTGGCAGAGTGCTTGGCATAGTGCAAGAGTTTAAGCAGATAATTGCCACTGGCCAACTAGTGTAGAACAAGATAGAAATAGTAGATGACATTAATTTTCCCACATACTTGGAGTCCCTTGTAGCTTTCTTCTGGGGTAAGGTCACATTTTTTATTGTTATTACAAATATTGGTAACCCTGAATGCCTCCATGGGATACTGACAGCTCTTTTTGGCAGTTTCAGCAGCAATGATACTTTCTGCACCAAACCTGGTATTCAGTGACTCTTCCTCACAGAGGGTAGAGGAGGAAGGTGCATAATGAACTGTGATACTCCATTAGCCTGGATAAGCCTCAGAGCATATGAGGAGCTAAAGGAGCCAGCTGGCTCCCCAATAAGCCCTAGTTCTGCCAAGACCCACTGATTGCTGATGAGGAAGAAAAGACGGTGCTGGGTGGAGTGAGGAGGACATTTCCCCCCAAGATTTGAAGTTACTGGCTAAGGCAAATCTTGAGGATTGAATGAGCAAATGAATGCTTTAAACTCTGTAGAGAAAGGTTTTATTAAAATTCACCCTACCGGTGTATCATTTCTAGTTTCTAAGGTAATGGGCCCTTTTCTGGGATGGAAGTCAACTTTCTTGTGGATGAGTTGCAGAGTCCCTGAAATGACTGTCAGATCATACCCGTACACTGCACGCAAAGCACTGTGTGAGGTGAAGTTTTCCTCTCCAACATACTCAAACTTCCATAGCTGGAGTCTGGGAGAAAAAAAAAAAAGTTGATTCCACAAATGTTGCTGGTGTGGAAAGAAAGCAATTATGAAGAATGAAAAGTCCTCTGATTTGTTATTTTTCCACAAAGTTAAGAGAAGATACTCATGGGCAATGTAAGTAACACTTTCTAGCCAAAATGGAACATATTTCTTTCTGTCCTTTCAAAAATGTTTCTATGTGTGTCAATTATAAAAGGTATATCACTTTCCTTTCTTCAGAAAATATACCTTTTGCTGCTGATAAAAATAAAAATTTTCCTCCCTCTACATATACAAATTTTTAAGGAAATATGGTTTTGCTCCTAAAAATATCAGAAAGTAGAAATTAAAAATGTCATCACCTGCCAGAAATGCTCATATGAAGCAGCAGGTAGTTTTGGAGTCACTGTGAAAACAGTATGGAGAACATAGTATCCAAAATTATGATTTTTGACACTATGCTTCAGTATGTGCACCTGTGAATTTTTTTTCTTATTTTATTTTCATGAGAATCAAACTTCAAACAAATAGAAATAATCAAACCAGGCAGCATTCAACCAACACTTCAGTATAGGCCGTAATAAAATATCAGCAAAGGGAACTTATGTAAAAGTACAGGTAGCTTTTGAGCTTTGCTGTCCTGATGCTTTTTGGTGTTCTATTCTTTTGTGATGTCATTCCTCACAGTGACAAAAGATTGAAAAATCAATGTGCTTTGACATTATTCCAAAAAGCATTCAGGAATAGTAAATTTTTTTGAGATGAGGTAGGTAGAGAAGATTGGGATTTTAAAAAACAAATGTATACTATTATGAAGCTGCCAGTGCTACCATCTTTGAATCCCATTTGGACAGGTTGCAAAGAAAATTATGGCTAATCAGAAAACTAATCAATTTCAACTCTTTAACATTGAGGGGTGGCCCAATGTTTAAGGAATTGCTAATGGAATCCTCCAGTAAGAGGTCATCTCAAAGTCTGCAGAATAAAATCATTGCATTGATGATTTGGGGGTACATTCTATTTTCATGAGTCTTTAGGATATCCCAAATGGCAGCACCAGGAGGTACTTGGACCAAGAATGATTGACAGTGTCTGTAAGTACTTATTATGTCAAGGCTTCAGCTCGTCGATTGATGGGAAATGATGTATAATAAATTAGAATGATCACACATCATTTCCCATCGATTGAAATGCCAAATCCTTGACGGAGTAATGAGTTATGGCCAATACCACTCACTGTCTTAGGGGGAGATTGATTGCATATCCTTTCATCAATGCAATCAAACAACTAAGAAATTCTAAGTACACACATAGCTCTCAAATTTTACTGTCTTTCTAGGGCAGAGCATAAAGTTAGCCTTGCCTCAGTGAGACTGTGCAATGCCATGTGGTTACTGGAGCAAGGGTATTCTTCATCATCTGTGGCAATGAGAACCTCACTCCCTGCAGGAATATAGATGCATCGAAGTGCAGAGAGATCCAGTGAAGCACCATCAGCCACCCCAGCTACAACAGAACTCATTTCTTCTATATAACAGAACAGGAAGGCTCCCAGGTCTCTTCACAAAAGCAAAGGAGAAAGTTGACAGTAAGCTCAAAGGAATGAATGCTCATGTAGACAGTGGGTGGGCATTTCCCCCCATTTCTCTTGTGTACTCTCATGCTCAGTGTCATATGCTTTCTAAATCACGCAGTGGGTGAGAGTAATACCTGTTCCTCTCTGGTAAGAAAAGGAGTTTTTTCTCATCTTATAATTGAATACCAAAAATCATCAGCTGTAAAACATTTTTATTTATTTAGGTAGCCAACCTGTCTGCTTTTCCCAGTGGAGGTGGGAAGGCTGACATGATGCATGAAATTCACATTTCTTGTTTCCCAATCACCATTCAATGACTATTTCTAAGGCCTTTTGGACTTATTATGTCTTCATGGGCATTTTAAAGCTAAACTAAATAATGGTTCTTTAAAAATTTTATTCACTTAATAACAATATTTTTGGAACAGCCACTACCTACAAGACATTGTAATAACCTTAAAAACATGTTATGGGAAATGACCCAATGTGAAAACTAACTTAGTTACAAAATGTTTTTAAATGACAAAACAACTTTTCTTCATGTTTAGAAAATGTAAACACTTCCCAAATTTGTACATGACAGAAGCACTTTATTTCTTCATAAATTAAAGACCACTGGACTGAAAGTCCTCTGAGGGTAAGGAATACTGTCTGTCTTATCAACTGCTGTCTACTTAAAGCCTACAAAAGTGCCTGGCACATATCTGGCATTCAGTGAATATTGCTGAAGGAATAAGTGAGGTAGTGGGGATTATACACTCTTTTAAATACAAGTAAATTCATTAGTATTTTGAGAAATCTGTGCTTGTATACTCATCTTCTCCCCAGGGTGGAGTTATAGTGGCCATTATGACTTCTTCCAGCATGGTTCCATCTATTGTGACTATTGGAGGAGGCCAGAGGTGAAGAGGGAAAGCAGTCAGATAGGACCAACATTTGGTGAGTCCACCTTCAGGGTGATACATTTATATATGTTATATATGATATATTTATATATTTATATATATATATGTGTGTGTGTGTGTGTGTGTGTGTATATATGTTGTTTCACTTACTATTGCATTGTGAATAGGTATTTTCCTCATTTTAGAGATGTGAGGCCTTGAGTCCAGAGAAATTAGCTTTCTCCAATGTATACAGAAACAATAATCTGCTGCTGACCCATTCTGGGGGAACCAGGCTTCCATAAGACTAAGATGGGTACTCAGAGCCCCAGAGTAGAAAACTGCTTGAAGATTCTTGGGAAAAACTTGAGCTACCACTGTTCCAAATAAGAAGTGATATGTGTAATGCAAAGCCCATCATCTCCTGTCCCTGCAATAGATACAGAACAGCTGTAAGCACTTCTCAAATTCTCTCACTGAATGAGAGAATAGGTTGGGTTAGTAAATATCCTCTGAGGCTTACTAAACTGTCAGGGAACTAAAACATCATAAGCACAATGCTTGAATTTCAATACTCCTCACTTATGGACTCAGAAAGCAACTGTTGAGCATTTACTTAATTCAGTTGATCATATAGTTACTGTTGAATAATCTATTCTCTGCCCTCTGTGAGCAGACTGGAAGCATGTATTTGTAAGACTGTAAGGTAAATACTGGTGGAAGTGAGTACAAGATGACAGAGAGCAGGATATGGGACAAATGAGATTGCATTTTGGCTAGAGAAGAGAAGGATATAGGGAGACCACATAGATTAGCTTAGAGTGTATTCTAGCTCAGGTAGAGTATATTCTAGAACAGGAAGATTTCCTGTGAGAGGCAAACACAGAAAGATTTCAGGCCATGGAACAGAATGTGCAAAGACACCATGCCATCTGTGGTGAGTTACACTGCAACTTTAAGAAACTCAGAAATATACATGAAAATTTACTCCAGCTTTTATGATTTTTTTCTAGTAAAAAAGAATTAGGTAGGGTCTAGAAGTCTTAAGTAGATTCTAATATGACACAATAATATCAGTATTCATAACATTTATTCCACACTGCCACATGACTGATTCAGTCATAGTTATGAATTAACATAGAAACAGCTGAGGTGATCAGATTGCCTGGGAAATAGTCATTAATTTCATAGCAATTTTTAAGTAATATTTTTATTAGTTTGAAAAGAACGCTGAGCTTTAAGAGTGGAGTCATTTGACAATAAAGAAGGAAAAGGCCAATCTCACTGGCTTCCTCTCCTTATTTAAACAAGTGTCATATTACATCAAAAATTATCTTAGGAGATAAGCAATATACAAAGCAACAAGACACCACCCAAATAAGTGTTATCTGCACTAAAGTAGATTTATATCATTCCTATTATACTAGAATTTTCAGTGAAGCATCCTAAGGTAGCAGTTCACCATTCCTAATTCACTAACAAGCAACTTCTTGGCTCCATCCTTAGGAAATCCAATCCTGGTAGAGTTTGCAGCATAATATATATGTAACTGATCATTCACGCATTCCAAACTTTAAGCAGGGTTTAATGCTAAGTGTATTCTTTAACTTGCATCCAATAGTCCTTGCTGGTCAATGGGAGATGTATTCCAAGACCCTGAATGTATGTCTGCAACCATGAATAGACCACATCTTATATATATTGTTTATTTCCACATATGCATACACAAATTTAATGCCTTTCCCAAATTAACTGAATATCACACACTGTGACAGTAACTTTTGCTGTCTGAGGCACAAAAACAAACTATGAGTGTTTTTTTCTTCATAATTTTATGGCTGGAATATTTCTTCTTACTGTAGATCCTAGCAGTTTCAATATATGTTTCTTTCTTTATTCATTAATTTCTTTATTAACTTTTACCTTTTCACTTAAAGGAAGCACTTGATAGCATCTCTTTGGAATACTGAATTGCCAGCATCACTACTCTTGTGCTTTGGAACCAATATTAAATAAAGTAAGGGATGATTGAGTACTAGCTCTGTCTTCAAATCTGTGACAGTTGAGCCTATAACTGAGATGGCTATTTTATGACTAATTGGAGGGTAACATATTCAGTGTGGATACAATGAAAAGGGGCTGATTCATGTCCCAAATAGAATGGAGGAAGATGGGCAAGATTTCATTACACTACTCAGAATGGCATGTGATTTAAAACTATGTTTTTAATTTTGAATTTTCCACTTTCTCCAAAAGTGGTATGTCTCTTGGAAAAAGTATCTTCTTATTGTGCATGCATAATTTACAAAGTCTCATCCCTTCCATTCTTCATAAAAGTAAAAGCTCGTGAGATAATCTTCTTATTGCATATTTTACAATAGGGAAAAAAAGTACAATAATGTTTTTGGTAGAAGGAGCTAGTCCTTTCTCTACAGTTTATGTAAACAGGTTGTTTGTAAACCATATAAGGAAGTGCAAATCTTAAGACATTAACACATAAGGTCACAATAACATTTTGCCACTACTAACCTTGAATTAATTTGCTCATTGTATCCATCCAATGTATTCTGAAAGGCAAACATTATACCATAGTTTACATTTATATGGTGATTTGCAATTCATAAATCACTTTTAAAATATTGTTTTATGTAATGTCAGCAATTAACTTTTTCATTAAAGGAATTTTATTTACTGAGGGTATCTGAGGTTGTGAAGTGAAGAAATAATCCCAAAGATCCATCATTATGAAATGGTGCAGCTGTGAATCTAAGCCACATATTTGATCTGTAAGTTCATTGCTCTGCCTATGACATCAGACTGGCATAGCCAAATTTATATTGTCAAAATTCTAAAGGTTGAACACTAAAATAGATTAGAACATGTGTATCAGTCTTTTTCTTTTCTTTTCATTTTTTTTAAAGAAAATGGAGAATCCTTCTCTGCATTAACTTTGGGGTTTTTTAAGTCCACCATTATGGAAACAATTGAATTTTCTGACAAGAAACATTAAAGCTGATTTGACAAGAATGACGAGGCATTTTAAGAGTTGATTGACTGTTAGCACAAAGCTTTTAGAGCTTGCTGAAATTGCATCAACTATAAGCGAAAGAAATGGAAGTATCTTTTGCAGAGATTTGAAGGAAAGCCTGTGACATAAAAAACAAAGGTAGATTGGCCAAGTTTATATATATATATATATATATATATTCATATATATATATTCATTTATATATATTCATATATATATTCATCCAACAGCTTTGCAGCTTTTCTGTAATATATAGTTAGTTTATATATTAACAACTCTTTAAGGTCCTCGTACTCAGGGACTCATTGAGGGCTAAATTGATCAGAAAGAAAAAAAAAAGCATGTGTTTGTTGAAAGACTTGCAGAAGACCTATTTAGCTGAGACTCTTGTTGAGTTATGTTTGCAATTCTATGTTGGTACTTCCAGTGTGAGATAAATTTTCACTCTTGTCACCAGATCAATCAGGTGTGGCAAATCAGAGACCAATGCAGAACAGGGATGTCTGTTGAAACCATCATGATGAGTGGTAGAAATTTCCATTATGAAAATATACTTTTTAAGGGTCCATGGTAACAAGAATGATTTCACAATTGTCACAACTGTTACAACTTTAAAGAACTAAGATAAGGCAGACTTTTTCCTCCATTTTTTTTTCAGAAAAACTTCCTGAACTATAGTTTGGGTTAGTATAGCTAACAGATTTTTCACTTTTCTACAGTTAAAGAAAAAGCAACAAACACATGAGCAAACATAATCATTTATATACAGCATCTTTAATCTCATAAAACTCTAGCTTTTAAAAATACACTCTTAACTATGGATTTTCCTTAATCTTTGCATTTAATTAATGATGGTTTATAGTAGGATCATCTCTGCCCCTTTTAGGAATGGAATCCCAACATGAATATGTTATCATCTAATCTTCCTATTACTGCAGTAACACACTTGGCCAATCAGCAAGCTCAGTGTTAGAAAAATAACCAAACTCAGGGTTAGAGAAATAACCAACTAAACAATCAACTATTAAAGTAGACTCAGACTTGGAGCTAAGCTGACATTGATTTCCAAGTTGTGCCATCTCAGTGATGCCATCACATTTGGTGGCCTGAGAACAGATTTGTAAACTGCCTTCACTGAGATAATAGGCAATGAAGCTGGTGCTTAGGGTGTAGAAGACTAATTTCTTGTGAATATCCCCACCTTGAATTCAGCAATTTTGGCAGCTGAAATCAGTGGTGACATCTAGACTTTTCTGAATGTTTTCTATCTTTTAGAAGATAAATTTTACCAACCATCACCTGAAAATGATCAAAGTTCTGATCTATGAGTTATTAGAAATTTATCTCCTATGATGCAATTAGAACAGGGTTTTTTAAAGTGGTATTAACGTTTTGGATCAGATAATTCTTTGTCGTGAGGAGCTGTCCTATGCTCTGTAGGATGTTTAGCAGCATCTCTAGTTCTACATTATGTGCCAGTAGCTTCTTCTCTTGAGATGTAACAACCTTAGAGATTGCCAGATTTCTCATGGTTGAATAAGAGTGTGCGTGTGTGTGTGTGTGTGTGTGTGTGTGTGTGTGCAAAATCATCCCAGTTGTGAGCCACTGGAGTGGAATCACAGACTTTGGGCTTTTAATCTTTCTAGCTTCAGTGAATATTTAATTTAAAGATGAATGGGCTTAATGACATGTCCCAGGTTGTGCAATCGATTGAAGTAGAACTAGACCCAAGTCTAAATTTAGTTATCCCGACAGTGACCTTTATACCTAAGCATGTTACCTTCAAATACTGCTTGTGGGAAGAATAGTGAGTGTACTGACCCACAAATAGCTGAGCTATGACTTAAGAAAATTCTAAGAGCATAAGAGGATAACCATCAGAGCTGAGCAGAAAAAAACACCTCACTTATATAAATGAATTGGAAATAAGAAAAAAATCTCCAATTTGCTATTATATTCAGTTAAGTATTTTGGGTGATGATCACCAAGTGACTTTTAATTACTGACAAAGAGTCTGTCACTGACCAAACTCTACTCAGGCTACCCTGTACTCTTTTTCAACTAGGCTTGACTTTTGGGCTCCTAAGCTTGCCTTTACGTTGCCAATTTCAGAAGAATCCTAAGCTTATTATTGGTGGAGCTACCCCCACCTATATGAGATCACCGTCCATATTGAAATAGATTCTTCACCTCCACCATCCCTCTTGTAATATCTGATCACACTAGCCTGCCTTAAATAGGAATCCTGTTAGATTGATTTAGCCAGAATCTTCCTTAACCCCGAATCCTTTCTCTTAGTAATTTTCTTTCCACCGACCTCTACCCTGCTCCTCAGCTGTAAATTCCTACTTGTTCATGCTGTACTTGAAGTTGAGCCTAATATTTCCTCTCCTGCACAAACCCATTGTAGTGGTCCCCATATGAGTACCTATCAGGATAGCTCCTCCCCATAAACCTTGAGTACAGTCTACCTTGTCATCTTTACCAAGTGTTGTAATGATGTTTTTCTTCAGTATTTCTCATGTTCTGTATATGAAGTTATAGCTACATGAGACCAATCTGCACACTTCTTGCCTACTATCACCTCATCTGAGGCAGGAATTTGTTGTGTCCTCTGACACCTCAACATTTTGTAACTAAAGATAAAAAAAAGATGTGCCTGGCAAGAACAACAAATTAAAGATTGAATTAACATCCCAGGATCACTCATTGTACCAGGAAATATGTACTTTCACTGTGGCAAAGGCTGGATTTTAGATGGTCCCTATTGGCCATCTCTGGTCTATCAACAAGACAATAATGGAAGCCATCTTCCTTTTCTAATGAAAGAATTGCCAAGAAAGTACACTGCTGCACAACCAGCTGTTTAAAGAACTGAAGAGGAAGCAAAGATGGTGAAAACAGATGGGATATATTTTGAATTTTCTACTTTGATATGAATATGTACATACGATATATTAGAGCAGCTTCCTCACACACATCCCGCTCTCCTTCGCACATTATGGTAACTAAGCATTAGTCACTTTCATATATCAACTTTATCAAAAAGTTTTATATGTCTTTTGTTTCTTGGACTTACCAGCTTCTTTACACCATTTTTTACTGAGCTATTTGGTTAAAAACTAGTTAATATTTCATAACACATCTTATAAATTATGCCATATGGAAGATGCTTTGTGTTCAGGATATATTTGTTTGAAACAAAGTTTATGATGTATTTCGTTTGCTAACAATCCTGATATTTTAAAATTTAGCAGAAATTCTAGATATTTTAAGGCATATGAATATAAGTATTTTAAAATATTTTTTAAAGTCTGATGAGCAAAGAACATATATTCCTTTTGTCATTTTGGAAAATGCAGAAAAATATAAAAAGAAAATCATAATTGATTACAGCCTCATCATTAGAGATTATCCTGGTAATGTTTTTTATCTCCCATATACGTATATGTATATGTGGTTGTATGCATATGTACATTTGTATAGACATTTGGGATTATATAGTAGACACTGTTTTTGCTAGTTTTGTTCACATTGTTATGAGTAATTTTATATTAATGATACAATTGATTTTGTATCTTTATCTTCCTGGTACATTATTTCCTAAAAGTCAAATGCTGAGTCATGAACATTCATAGAATTCTTAAAATATTGCCAGCCTGCTCTCTCCTATGGAGATTTGTTAATTTAAACTTATACCAGAAATATATGAGAAGATTTTAATTAGACTTCAATAATAAACTGTAATTGCTGAATTACATTTTAAACACTTAAGAACTAAAGTAAAGATCTAAGTAAACATCTAAGAACTCAAGAATATCTTTATATGGTCCTGTATCCTCTTTAGCACTAAAGTTGTTTTCTTTAAATTTAATAGCTTTTGATGAATAGCCATGGATCAAAATGAAGAGAATTTTCCAGGGGCTACTAAAAATAGTTTTCATTTTATAAATAACAATCATAAGAATATATGAAATGTTAAATATGAAAAGATGTTAGATACCATCAAGCTCAATTTTCTGTTTTATTCAAATTCATTTCTGAAGAAACTATTATACGCCATGTCTGTAGTCTTGAATACACTGGGAAATATAAGAGAAGTGCATAATTAGCTATAATACAGTGTCATAAATACTAAAGGAAATGATGGACAAAATGCAATGGAAACATATGGCTTTAGGAGAATGTTTAACTTTTTGCTGCAGGATGGCGTCTAGAAAAACTGCAACAGAGGTAATTTCTCAAGGATTATTAATTCTTTTTCAGAAGAGTGAGAAAGAAGTGTTTCTGGAACAGAGCAGCATTAGAGAGATACAAGGCCATGGCATTACACAGCTTGTTTGTGCAATGGTGGCAGAAGGTACAGCTCTCTCATAGAAGGCAGTGGTATTAATATAAAATTTTCAATTTCTTTTTAAGAAGTTTTGACTTCTTCTGTAGTGAGAGAGGAAGCATGGAAGAGTTTTGAGCAGGGAACATGATTTTTTTGTATATGAACTCGAGCAGGAGGATTTTGGAAACAAAATGACTGGCTGTTAACACTACCCAAGGATCATGATAAGGATTGAACTATATCAGCTGTGGAAAGAATACTTGTGAGGGACAGAGTCTAACTTGTGTTAGAAATTAAGAGGAGCGTAAGAAAGCAAATTCTTCCACATGAATCTTCAAGTTTTTTAAGAAAATCAGGCAATGAATGAGTAAATAAATGTATAAAAGTGATGATGATCAGCTCTGCAGAAGAAATGATCAGGGTACCAGGATAGAGAATAAGAGGGAAAAGGGCTCCTTAGTTAGGAGGACATCTAAACTATCACATGAGGAATGAATTTAAAAATTCACTATGTGAAGATCTAGAGCCCAAGTAAGAATGCCTGCAGTGAGAACTTCCTGAGGCAGAACAGGTAACTGATTCGGAAGGCTGCTATAGTGCAGGGGCAATCACATCACCTTAAAGTCAAATAGCCTTGGATACAAAACCAGGCCTTGCTGTTCACCCTTCTCAGCCTTAACTTCCTCCATAAAATAAGAATAATAGTGCACATATTACAGAGTCACTGAAGATTATATAAAGTAATGTATGTCAAATTAGCACACTGACTTCAGACAGTAAAACCTTAGTGGAAAGTAGCTGTTGTCACCACCACATTATCATCATCAAAATCATTATTATCAATAAGAATAGGGAGAAATGGGGCACTTCAAGTTTCTGTTTTAGGTAATGAAGAAGTAAGATAGGCAGTCTAGAACAAAAGCTAGCAGGGGTGTTCAGATAGTGGATCTGCTTTGAGGAAGCTACTGGAAATCCAGCTGGAATTTGGATCTAGAGGTCAGGAGAAAGGCCAGCATATAAAATATACTGACCTCATTCAAGGAGGTGTACAAAAATTAAGGTAAGGAAACTAGGAAGGAGCACTTCATGAAGATAATTTTTTTTAAAGAAAATTTTGATTTTTTTGTTTGTTTGTTTGGTTTTGGTACCAGGGATTGAACTTGGGTCCTTGTGCTTGCGAGGCAGGCGGCAGCACCACTGAGCTAAATCCCCGGCCCCTAAGAAAGTTTTGATTTTGTGACAAAAAATATTGTCAGTGATTTGAAATCTACCCATAATTTACATTTCCTGGCTCTGATGAAGTTTTTCTGGCTATATGTAATATTCTACATAGAGCAATTACTATTCCAAATCAGAATATTTTAAATATCTGAATACTCCCTATTATTCATCTGAGGATAATGTTCACCAATATTTCATACTTTATTCATATAGAGAGATCTTTATGTCCTCATTATTCTAATAGTTTTTGGACGCAGAAACTAATAGTTTAATTTGTTCTTGCACCAAATGAAACTCAATATTCCAATTTTGATTTGATTATCTTGTTAGTTTCAATCTACGATTTTCATCTGTCAGGTGCTTTATAATCTTGGTTCTATCATCCAGCATATTAGTGATTCCTGTCAAGTTTGTATCATACACCAATTTGATGAGTATGATTTCTAAAGCTTTATCCAAGTCACTGATAAAGATACTTAAAGACTGCCCTAGTGTAAATTGGACTATCCCTGCTATTAACTAGTAAGTGGGCATGAAACCCTGGCTTCACTTGAGAAGGGCAAGTTATGCTTGACCCTAAAGGCTTCAGTGGGTTGAATGGGTGTGAACATAAATAAGCAAACAGGAATTGAGGAAAGAAGATAAGATAAAAATTATTGAACACAAGGTGGGAGCTATAAAATTTGGGATATCTTTGGTGAGAGTTATTTGAGGCCACCATAGGGAACTGTAGGGAAGAATGTGCAGAGATAAACTGTAAATGCTGCACAGTTGCAGGACAAGGGACTAAGAGGGCTTGGTCCCGGTAATTTTGAGAACAAGCAAACAAAAACTAGTGACAATATGTCTGTATTTTTCAGATAAAGCAGTAGAAATGGAGCATCTGCAAGCAGAGTTTCATCATCTAGAAATCTGTGTGCTGGACTCAGGTAATGGATCTAAGAAGGGAATGAAACTCTAGCCCTGGGAAAAGCATCAGAACAGGAGCTCCCTCTGTCTCTCATCATAATTGCCTGAGGTTCTGTTTGTCGTTTCTATCAGAAAGAGTAATAAAGGAGTAAGGGGAGGGTCAAATGTAGAAATTGGGTGCTAGGGATTAAGTCAGTATATAGAGAAAATAAAAGCAGAAGGACTGTAGTTTCAAGGTTAACTGGGAATGGGTATGAGTTACCCTTGTACGGTAGGCTCTCAGTGCTGGCAAGGGTAGCCATGCAGAGACTCTGGATTTCATTAGAGAGCCAAGAAGTCAAGAACGGACCAACGCATTGCAGCTAAAGACCCAACTCTGTTCTCCCAGGTGACTGAGGGGCTGAGACTGGTAGTGTCTAAGTTGCGTCTTCATTTTCATCAGAAAGTAGATCAGGCCAGAACATGAAAAGGAGAGTGGGAGTGGGAATTAGTGGCTCAGCTTAGAAAAGACAGACAAAACAGGGCAGCTTTAATCACAGTACTTAAGTGTGCATATTTTCTACCTGTAGTAAAGGATTTTTAAGGTCAGAGATCACATAAACAAGTCTGCAAGAGACAGCATCTTTTAATAAATTTTCTTATATTCAATGAATACTTAATAAAATACATATTTGCTATATAAGTAAAATGGATTTATCTTGAGAGCCTTGAGAATATTTCTAATATTCACCTCTATAATTTCCTTCTCTTGATGATGACAATGATAGTGATAGTGGTAATAATAGTATTAATAGTTCATTGGGCACTTATGTCAAATTCTGATAAGTGCTGAAACTCATTTAATTCTCATACAAATATTATGATGAGGCATTCTTATTATTTTCCCTCTCTTTTTTCAGATGAGGAAATTGAGCATTAGAGTAATTAAATCACGTGCCCAGGCTCACACAAATAGCAAATGAATGAATCTTGGATTTTAACTCAGGCAATATAATTCCAAAGGTATTACACCATATTTCCCCTTTGTTTTGTGACTAAAAATGATGAATTTTTAGTGTACGTTACTTTCGGCATCAGTTACCTTTCTATTAAGGATTTTTTTTTACAAAGAAACATGTCATTACTGGATGTGTATATGTAATTAGAAAACAATGCTAAGTGTGTAAGTTCCCTGAGTATGCAGTCATTTTCCTTCCATGCTAATTTCAGAATGGACATGACCAAAAATGTTTAAAATAGCCACTCAGCCTTGAGGACAAGGTAAGACTTGAATAGTCAATTTCAGCCTGTAAATATCAAGAACTGGATGTCTCTGCTTTGGGGGAAAGGACAAAAATTTGAGTTACAAATACTTTTGGCTTAAAAATATTTCATAGTCTTCATGTTTATAGTAAGGTTTGGACAACTAAGGCAAAATCATCAAGGTTTCCTCTGATGGTGAAACTTGAACATAGGATATAATCAATTAATAAATATCTATTGAATCATATAAAACAGTCCAATATTCAATATATACTCAATGATTTGTGTTCAAATGAATTTATTGACCTGTTTAAATGAGTTAACTCACAAAAGAATAGAACCAATTCCTGTGATGATAAATTGAAGAAATTGGAGACTTCTATGAATATCAGTGATTCCATTTGTTGCACAAAATAATTGAATGTAAACACACCTTATAAGTGTTAGCACTTAAATTAGAAAAATTTCCAAGATCTTTTCAGATGAATATCATATTTAGGTGAACAAAAGGAGAAGCACTTGATGATACAGTGCTTTTTTTCAAAAACTCTGGTGAACTGAAAAGAATATAGCATTCAAAATGCATATCTAAAGCTTCTAGGTAGAATTTAAATAACTTCATTATTTTTACCTTTTGCTTCAAACTACTCCAAATATTCTGACTATATGTGGACCTATCACTTGACCAATTTTCTATATAATTAAAATCATGGGCCTTCAAAACTATTTGGAGGGAAAATGCTTCTAAGATGCCTAGCTTTATCTTTTTATACTTGTGTAACTTAAAAATGACCAGGCAGAAGTTTTTTTCTTCTCTTTAAATTGCTTTGCCAACTTTCAGCTTTGAGCACATTTTCATGACTGATTTATTAAACCTGGAAACGAGAAGTTTATAATGGAAATTCTCATAAAGTCTTAACTCTAGCATTGCTAGCAGGTACCCTGAAGAATGGGAACAGCAAGGAGCCCTCAGCTGTGGCATTTCTAGAACACAACCTGAGGATTTGGTCATGTGTTCATTTATTTATTTTTAGGTGAATAATCTTCAACCATTCTAGCAGAAATTCTCATTCTGTTGGCAAAAAGAAAGCATGCAGTAGTTTGGCTATGAATCATACCTTCTGTTGTCATGATTAATTTTAAGGACACATTCAAAGAAGTTTCTTCTGTAACACTACACTCTGGGAAAAGGAAAAAAATATGTTGAATGTTGTGCTCATCATTTAGACTGATGGAACAGATTTATTGCAAATAAAATGATTCCAAATTGACTGGAGAGATTTATTGGAAATGAAATTGTTAGAAATCCCTATTCCTTTTTAAGATATTTAGAAATTATACCTAAGTGGAACATTTTTGCTTTAGTTTCAGAAATATAAACTTCTGGCATTGCTCATCATTAGAATTTTCCCCTGCAGGCTTTGGCTTTATTAGCAGCTTAAGAGTATATTTAGCACTGTCATATGTGAAATCTCTTCACTCTGTTACACTAATATGGGATAAAATGTCTTTTTTTACAGTGTTACTCATTCATTATATAAAAATGAAAGCAACTACTTCTGTGTGGATCCAGAGCCACTAACTATTTTTATGACAAAAGAGAGGTGACAATACATATCCCGTAGGCACATGAGAATATTATATAAGAGTCATTAGTATAATTGATATCCACAGAAAGAGTGTTTTATCCAACGTGATTAAAATGTGTAATACATTATGTTGGTTCCAGTGTTCCAGCTGCCGTGTTGTAATCTTTCCTTTGATAGATATCTAGTGAAAAATAAAATTATGCTCGTTAAAAGGATAATCTTCTAGTACTTAAGGCTGGGGGAATGTGAAACAGTTGTATGTCATGTGCTCAAGCCATTTGCATGTGAGTTTTGCATAGGTCTTGTGTTTGGTTGAGGGGTCTTCATCATAGAAAAGTAAGTAGAAAAGGCCTAACACAAAACTTTTTTCCTGATAGACATGGGAATACGTTGAATTATAATTCTGTGCCTAAGTCTTAAATTCTCCTTGTTAGGCTCAGTTTTAAATGCCTACAGTAGTGGGGCCAATGAAGAAAACAAATCATAGAACCTAAAAGTTTAAATTGGCTTTAGGTTGAGCATAACTTCCTAAAGGCAAATGACCAAATTATTATTTTAAAAGGGTGTTTCTACACCCAATACATGCATTGCTTGATTGGTTCATTCATTTAACAAGTATTTATCAATTATCTTCTGTGTACAAAGTATTTAATTAGGTGCTGGGGACCCATAGAATCACATAGCCTAAGATTTAATTTTTAAATAGTAAAGCAAGTTAAAAAAAAAAACAAACAGGAGCAAATCTTGTTTTCCCTATTCAGTCCTCAGAAGCATGCCTTAATGAACCATATGGCTAGAATAACAGAAAATGTTGTGTCTACATAATGTGCATCTCAAAGAAATCAGAGCAGAGTATGTATACCACTATCCCAACACCTATAATAGTGTTTCTGAGTTACTGTCATTTTTCCCCTTTTGCATATGTGCGTGATAATGACAATGCTAAAAGCTGAGAAAAAGGTCATATGCTGAGGGTATTGCAACAAATCTAGGAATGTAAAGTCAATGGCAAAAGAAGCAATATGTCTAAATCTTAATTAAGTGTCATGTCTGTTAGGGCAAAGAGGTCTGTTGGAAGCTTCCTTGGTAATTAGGAGTTCCATTTTCTTCTCATCAACTGACCTGCAGTATTGTTGAGAGTATCAAATGAAATAATAGGTTGGAAACTGCTTTGTAAACAAAGCATAAAGTGCTTTATAGACTTGTGACACCATTTTTTAAGTTTTTCAGCTAGCATCCGCAGGTTGTAGGCTATACTTATAAATAAAGGATTGGATCATGCTTTTGCTACTCATATAAATTACAAATGCATCTTTAGTGGGATATCAGCTGCTTTCAAAGACTCTGAATATCAAGAAATATTGAAATGATTAATATCCAAAAATTATATAAATAAGTGAGGGGCCTAGCCATTCCATGGTCCCGTCTGTCTTTGATAATATAGGATAGAGTGTAAGTCACCAATGTTTGAGAAGACGAATTACCTATTGGGTCAGCAAAAATAAATGACAGTATTAGATTAAACAGGTATCTAGATAAAAACTTTATAGCATGAAATAATGATGGACCAACCTGCATTCTAAGGAGACTGATTCATCTGTACCTGCTCCACATTTGTTTGTATGCAACTGAATTCTGCCACTTGTGAATAGTCCACTAATACCATGATGTAGTGTTTCCAGTTTCCCATGATGATCAGACTCCAGAAGGTTGTTAGTTGACAGTGCCACCTTCATGTCCCTCTCCAAATACTTTTCACAGTGCTAAAATATTTTCTGGAACCCCACCACCACCAGGGCACCACCACAGCATTCTCTCTCCTAAACTTTTCCTTCTGATATCTACTACGTCATCTGTAGTCCTTAAATAGAATAACTCATCGCTATCAGTATTCTAAAATGCGATTTTGTCCCACCTATAACTGTTTTCATCATTGTCCATGATAATTTTATTTTATTGCCATGGTGTTACTGGTCTACATGATGTCCTCTTGTGACTCTGAGCTGATGAGATTTCCTGGGAGAAGTTTTCAGAATTTTCTATATAGCTTACTGATCACAAAGATTCAGCAATGCCCGTGGTCTTATAAAAATTACAGTAATGAGATTGTGATTGTAATGTTACATAAATATTGTTATTATTAGAGTAATAATAATAGATGAGGATAATAATAAAGAGTTGGCATGGTCTTTTCCTCAGAGTTTCCAGTGATTCTAATGCACAATTGGCGATATCATTTAGTATACTAAGAAGATACGTGATCATTCTGGAGCTATTATCAGTCCCCGTTAGAGCCTTTTCAACTACAATACTTATTGTGTATGTTATGAATAAGAGAGAACAAAAATTATGCACGCAGGGCCAAATTCTCATCTTGTTCTGGACCCCCACGGACGTCTCTTTGAAGTCAATAGAAACTCAGTAGGGGGTGGAACAAGATGAGAATTTGGAAAAGGAACGTGAAGAAAAAGGGGTAATTTTCCCCGACCATATCATCATTTGGTGTATGTTAAATGCTCACACAGTGCCTAACCCCATTCCTTTTTACTTCAGTCTCAATAAAATTGCATAACAGATTTTTTTTTGCATCTCTATGTGTATATACTGTAGGTCATTTTCAATGGGAAGAGAATTGGATAACTTCAATTACTCTCCTATAAGCTGTTATTATTGAACTGAGCCTGAAGTGCTTTATTTTCAATAAAGAAGCATTCATATAATACAACTTTTATGCAAATTTAGATGCTATAGGTTTTCAAAGATTTACCAGAAAAGACATGTTTCACTGGCCCAGATAATTAACCACTTGTCATTGTGCCTGTGCTTTTGTTCAACTAATTTTTGAAATCATTTTGGCCACTGTGGAATGGCTACACAAATGTATGCTCTCCCAGGAAAACACTGTTTGAAATCAACAATGCACTTTTTGTTTCTGTATTCTAATATCCACCCCTCCTCTTAGGACTTGAATTGTTTTGTGCACACAATTGTAAATGAATGTCCAGAGGGGAACTTTGAAAAACAACCTGCCTGGAAGATAGAAGCCACACCTTTCCCATTCAAGGCAGTGCCTACCTTTTGTGAGATCGGTACAGGCCTTCTGAACAGAGCCTGCTCGAAGAAACTTGGCTCTCAAGATAAAGCTCCTTGAAATTACACCATTTT